TTTGCACATTGGCACCCATGGGGAGAACCAGCAGTGGGCTTGTTATGAAGAGGGCTCTAATGTCAGTCCTATTAGTAAAACAAATGAGTGAGCGAGCATGTCCTTAGGAGTTCTTGGTATACGTATGTCCTCTGCTGTGCCCTGGATCTCAAGGTACTATTTTGTGTTATGTGGATATCAGCATTCTAAAAGATGAGTAGATCCAGAAAACTTGACGTCTGCCAGTGTAACTTCATGTTTTTAAAGAAGGGAAGGCAACTCATTTTTATAAGCCATACAAAAGAAACAAGACAGCATGCTGAAGAAGTAAAACACCCTGAGAGCTGGAAAGGAAAGGCTTTAGCTCCAACTCAATACTAATACAGTTGCTTCCCATTCTCTGCTAGCCTCTTAGTTACAGATCTCTCTCAGCAGATTCTGGGAGGCAGAACTTTTGCAGCATTACTTCATTCACATTTAAATATAGCATCCTATGTTTTCTGTCTTATCAAGTATATGCCCTTTTTCAATGGCTGTTGAAGGGTTTGCCTGCTCCGATATCATAAGGGCATATGCCTGATGATGTTGCAGATACTCAGTTGTCAGTTTGGACTCTGGAATCTCAAAGAGAGGGATGCCTCCGATCTGGCAACTTTAGTAGATCTCCTCCTGTTTGACACTGGGATGGGAGACTGTATTGGAGTGCTTTAAAAACTGAAATCAACACTGTAGGTGAACTTGGTGATATTAATACCCAACCTAGTTCAAAGCTGAACCTTTCTTTTGATTTGGGACTTGGGGATTTTGAGATTCTGCATGTCTCTTGAGTAGATTCCTTTGCTTGGAAGAGAGTAAGTAAATCCAGTTTAGGCAGATTCCAGGACAGGCTGCAGATCAACACAACGAAAGGCAGGGCTCTAATACTTTCGACACTCTGCCTTTCAACAAAATATATTATTGTTGAGGCAGGTGTTCTGACATTGTGATTCATGCGTTCAGGGCTGTTCTCAGGGTACTTGTTGAAGTCTCAGGAAATTACTCTGATGTCTTGGGTGTCTGAGTAGAGAGACAAATCTTGGTTTGGGTCATGCAGGGGGAGGAGACACTTTTTTATGTGAGATGGCTCAAAGGGAAATCCATCTCACCTATCCCCAGCCTGCTCTGGGGCTCACTGGTTAGTGTTGTACTTGCACAGTCAGTATACCAAAAATCAAGGAGCAAGAAGATGGGAAGGAAAGGGAAAGAATAGGTAGAGTGTGCACTTTGTCTCTTTATGTCATTTGGAGCAAGGCAGGGTATGGAGCTACAGAATTGCAACTTGTGAGCCTTCTTGTTGTCCAAGACCTGATAGCAGCAGGGTAAAACCTGAGCTAAAATCTCTCCTTGAGTTAGTAGTGAGCCTCCTACAAATGTGCAAGCCAAAGCAAAAAGCCTCAGAAGAAGGGGAACAATGTGTATCTATGTCTGTGGGGCCAAGCCATAATTGATTTGAACAGTACAGACACCACTGTTTTCAGGACTTTATTCATTGGATAGGGAAACATCATCATGCTCTTATCACACATCCCATTAATGTTTTACATGTACTGTAGCATTGTTAATATTGACATACTACTACCAAACTGATAAATCCGAGAAGGGGGAAATGCCACTTCTTTTAACTTCTTTTAGGTGCCAAGCTTGACTGCTTGAGACTTCTGTTATAAGCCAAAGAGAAAGAAAAACAAAAAGCCAATCCCAAGGCATTGTGCAGCATTAGAAGGTGGCAACTTCCCCTTGTGATTGCATGGTCCTGTTGCCTGACAAATTCTAGCTTGTGAGGCTTGTTTGACAACATGAGTAAACAAGGTGCTTTTCTTCCCTGTTGTGAATTGGTGTATAATTGTACTTGCCCTAGAAATGTTTAAAGACACCATTTTCTGACACAGAATGAATATTGAATTGTGTCCTTCTGTTAATCAGAGGTAAGGCGCAGCACCATCCAGAATATTTCCCTAGTCCTGGCTTACTGGCATTGGCTGCCAGTTTGCTTCCATGATAAATTCAAGGTACTAATAAAGGTAAAGGTAAAGGTTCCCCTTGACAATTTTTGTCCAGTCGTGTTCGACTCTAGGGGGTGGTGCTCATCCCTGTTTCCAAGCCATAGAGCCAGTGTTTGTCCGAAGACAATCTTCCGTGGTCACATGGCCAGTGCGACTTAGACACGGAACGCTGTTACCTTCCCACCGAAGTGGTCCCTATTTATCTACTTGCATTTGCATGCTTTTGAACCACTAGGTTGGCGGGAGCTGGGACAAGTGACGGGAGCTCACTCCGTCGCATGGATTCGATCGCAGCACAGGCTTCTGCGGTTTAGCCCGCAGCGCCACCACGTCCCCAACGTACTAATGCTTACCTAGAAAGCCTTAAACAGTTTGAGACCTCACTACCTATTGGAGTGCCTCTCTGTAAGACCAACGCCATTTGCCATTCCTACTTCCCAGGTGTTGATAATGCAGGTGACCACCCTGAGAGTGGTCAGGAAGTCTATGACTAGGTGCCGGGCCACCTCTCTATGGAATGCCCTTGCTGTGGAAGGTGTGCCAGGCCCTGTCCTTCCTAATATTCAGAAAGCACATAAAAAGTTTGTTTTTCAAGGAGGCATTTCATGATACCCCCCTCCCACATTTGTTGGTAATTTAGTCTTATTTTGATGATTATATTCTATAACCTTTATCTTATCCATTGCTGCATCCTGATTTTTAGATGTGTTGTCCTTTTACATTATACTTCTTTATTTTGTAATTTTTGGTTCGGCTATTCTTTGTATGTTTATTTCTGTAAACCCCCCAGAGTAGTGGCAGCAACTGATCTATAACCAATTCTCTAATTAGTGTTGTACTAAGATGGAATGGCTATTCTGGGGAGATAAAATAATGTTTTTTTTTCTTTCCAGTTGCCAAATTGTAACCACTACAGCAAAGAGTCATTTCCCCACAACTCAGGCCTGACTCAAGATGGATTCCATATCCCACATTCCTCTGCTTTTCAGATTCTTTATAGGTGTAGTCCACAGATCTGGAGGGCATGAGGTTGGGGGAGTCTTAGTATTCAGACATTTCCACCTATATGAGCAGTGTTTTTAGTCACTATGAAATGTGCTGTGGTTCCCTCAGAATTTCTGTGTTGGGTTGTTACAATCCATTTCACCAAATTCACCTTGAAACACTTGAAAAAATTTTTGTGATGCTTTGTGGAATCTCGGAAAAGAGTCCCTCATACTTCTTGAATGAAGATGGGGAACTGCTGAAGGATTTGCATACTTTAGGCCATTATGTCTCATTAACATAACTTCCTTTTTTTTACATTTTATCTTCTCAGAAGGGGAATGATCATGTGATACTCACCAATCTGCAAGAAGGAATTTACACTTTTCAGCTGACCGTGACAGATACTGCTGAACAGCAGGACTCAACTGACATTACTGTCACTGTGCTTAATTCTGAGCAGACTGTAGGTAGGTCATTCTCAGAGGCATCTTTCTAAGCTATAACCTACAACTCATAATCTGGCTTCTGCTGGATATATCGATACATTGGGGAGTAGTACTGCATATTGGCAGAGAGGAGGAGGTAAAGAGAGAGATGGGGGGGATATGATTGAACTAATACAGCATTGTCCCACTGTTGAAAACTCCAACTCTTCTTACTTACATAATGTGATTGTGCTGTTAATTTTTTCACAAGCAGCATCCAACAAAGTGGAAAAAGCATGGACAGTTGAGCAACCCATTGAGAGCACATCATGTATTTCTCTAATATGGCATTTGAGTGAAAATCTTTCCTCTTCTTCCTCTTCCTCTTCTTCACATGAGTATTTCATTAGTAGATGGGACAAACAGGTGCATTTTAGGGATGAACATGGGTGACCCAAGTTCATTTACTGCTTGAGTAGGGAAACAAAGTGCTGCAACCCAGTGTTGTAGGAGCAGTCTTCCCTCCACTGCACAGGTCAGGGAGATTGCTTGCCAAAAGTGGCTAGCATAGTATCTTGAGTCCCTCAGTTGGAAACAGTTCAGGAAATTCCCTGTTCTGGAGGTTTGCATACATCACTTCTAGAGATGTGACAGCATTTCATGGGTAGAGAAGCAATGACATGCTTCTCCCGATGATCCGTTAAATAAGGTGGCTTGTTCACTTGATTTCATGGAAGAATTGGATATGGGATTAAAATCCCCAAATTCCCTCTACCACCATTTTCAAAACAAGCCAAATAAAAATCCTGTTTATTTCTTGGTGGGAGTGGATTTGATTTAAATAATGATTTAATTTTTAAAAAATCTGATTTTTTGATTATTTAAACCAATCTTGATTCATTGGCCTTTGTCTCCAGGAAGAGCTACTATTTACTTTTGTCACAGAAGTGACATTTAGTTGATCTTTGGGGGGGGTGTCACACCCCAACAGTTATTGAGAACAAGTGGATGGAATCCTATTAGTCTTCATATGAAATCTGTGTAGCTTTCTGTGGCTAACTGATGAGGTGCCAGGGTGCATTTTTGCTGTGCAGTTGGGTGCCAGAATCAGGTACACAACTGAGGTGTGCCCTTATGTCTCCCCAGTCAAGCACAATTATCCACAGCAAGTTATTTAAACCTACTACAAACACCAGTAGGATTGTGATTTATGACCATTTTCTTCCAGGTCACTGCCAGTGAAAGTTTGTCTTACCAGTTGATAATAATAATACAGTAATTGTTTGCCTTTAAGTCAGGTTTGATTTATGGCAACCTTTATCAAGGTTTTCTAGGTAGATATTCCTCAGAAATGGTTTTCCATTCCCTTCTTCTGGGGATACTCTGAAACTGTGCAGCTTTGCCCAAGGACACATAGACTGGATTTTGGGGGATGCACAATAGGAAATTGAACTCCTAACCTCTTAATTTCACAGCCAAATACTTAAATCAGTGGTCTGCTAAATCAGTATAGAATCCTTCCTCAATTTACTCTTTTGTTTTATTTTTATTGCTTGCCTTAGAAATTTTTCCTAGTAACAAGATAAGAGGAATGTGCAACCTAACCTTTCTGGCATTTATTGTGGGAACTTAAAATGTCCATCTTTTTATTCTAGAACACTGCTTGGCCCCTTATAAAGTAGGACGGTGTCGAGGTTCCTTCCCTCGTTGGTACTACAATCCAGCATCTCAGCAGTGTGAGACATTCACTTTTGGGGGCTGCAAACCCAACAAGAACAATTATTTACGAAAAGAGGAGTGTCAGCTTGCATGCAAGAATGTCCAAGGTTAGCCTGTTGTTTGAGATAATCTCTTATTGCTGAAATTGAAAAGACATTGTCACTTGATAGATGTGATTAATAATTGTATCAAAGAGGTGAAAAACGAATTGGTCTGCCAAATGTCGATGTGACGTGCATAGCTATGTTAGTTGGGGATAGTGGGAGTTGTAGTCCTAAACTACCTATAACTGCATGGATTTTTAAGAAAACAATTCTTGCTTATAAAAAGTAAGCTGTTAATGTTAAGATTATAAAAGGTGGCTTGTTAGATTAGTGATATACTGATTCTTTTTTTAAGCAAATAGCAGTGTTTTGGAGGTCATGAGTAAAATGTTCTTTGTTGTGCCGAAAATGTTATGCCATTTCCAGTCATCATATTACTTTTAAAATATTACTTGTAATGGATTAATTTCCAGACTTTGAACTCTGGGCACCTGGAGGGCACCAAGCTGAGGAGACCTGGCTAGACCAGAGAACTTGGAATGCCCGTTCCTTTTTTTCGCTAATCTAGGGAGAATGTATTGGGAAACCATATGACTTAACATCTTTGTCTCTTCTGCAGCTGTATTGTGTGAAAGGAACTGAAAACTAATTCCATGTGTACCTGTTTGTTTTCAAGATTGGTTGAATTTGGTTGATTGAGACTAGTATACTCAATCGTCTCTCTCCAGTCTTGGCACGCCTTTGTTGGCTGCTTGTCAGTTTACATGCTCAATGGTTAAGGACTTTGATACTTTTTTTGGAATGTCAGAAATCAGCTATTCGTTTCACCTGCTTGTACTAATGGAGCAGTATATAAAACAAGCAAGCAAACAAATAAAGGTTTAGATAAGAGTCAGGTGAGAAATAAATGACTAAAATGTGGTGGTCTCACTCCTTCCAATTTCTCTCTATTTAGGTGCTGTGGAAAAACGGCAAGAACCAGGTAGGCAGTTTTATGTGTTATTACAGTTCCATCCTACCACTTTCTCGCATTTCTGTAAATCTGTTGGGTTGCTTTCTTTTTTTTGTTTGTTTGTTTGTTTGTTTGCCAGGTTGCAAAGCAGTGACTTCCTTGTCATTGTGAAGCACTTGCCCTGACTCTGTTGCTGCTTGCTTTGGTATTCCCAGAGGACACCTTACCTGTGCTGAGAATTGAAACGGCTGTTTTTTTTTTCTCTCTCTCTCATACAGTGTGCAATGGAAACTGCCTTCCCTTCTACTTCAAGTGTGATGATGGCTGCTGTATTGATAGCTTTCTGGAATGTGATGAAACACAAGATTGCTTAGATGGGTCAGATGAGAAACTATGTGATTCTTGTACGTAGGTGAATGTTTATCTTACAGATAGGCTGGATTTATGTTTGAAAGGGCTGTAATATGACTACATAACACCTGCTCTGCTTGTAGAAAATGTCAGATTCAACCTCTGACATCTCAAGTAAAAAATGGTTACTAGCAACCAGCAATAGGAAAGTCCCATGTCTGATAATGAAAGTTGCACAGAGATGGGTGGATTTCAGGGTGCTGGGATCTGCTGTGCTGTTGTTCTTTAACAGGAAGCCCCAAATCCACCAGGTAGAGACTAGTGCAGTTGGCATTCTAGAGCAGTGGTTCTTAACCTTTGTTACTCAGGTATTTTTGAACTGCAACTCCCAGAAACCTCAGCCAGCAGAGCTGATGGTGAAGGCTTCTGGGAGTTGCAGTCCAAAAACATCTGAGTAACAAAGGTTAAGAACCAGTGCTCTAGAGTAAAGTACTTAAAATTCCCTGTTGTGTTCCAGGGAAATGCACTAGAGTTTCTAGTAGATAATTCTTAGTACCTCAGCAAACTCCAGATCCCAAGATTCCATTAAAAGAGGGCCATGGCAGCTGAAGTTCTGTAACTATGTAGTATGGATAAAAATATAATTACAAGTCAGTATTACCTTGTGGTGACCCTTTCTTGGGTTTCCTAGGTACAGAGTGGTTTACCGTTACCTTCTTCTGAGAGTAATCTGAGATTCTTTAATTTGCTCAGGGGTACGCAGGTTTGCTCATCTCACGGAAGGCACAACGGGGAATCAAACTCCCACCTTTTTTGGCTTTGTTGTCAGGTACCCAGCTCACTGAGCTACCCAGCCAGCCATGTAATGTGGATATACTTGCCCCTATGAGTACCAAAGATAAGGTCACCGTCCTCTCCTATAGAAATGTAGTCATGGAAGAGGGGCTCACTCTGCCACTGTGGAGTGATCCCCTCTCTCTGCTCAGGCAGTGGGGCGTCACTATCTCCTGCTTGCCCTTTTTTTCATTTCAACAGTACAACTGGATGCAAGAGGGGAATCTTTTTGCTACTGCTATTGTGGAATAGAAGCATAATAGATATTTATTGATTTACTGGTAACCATTCAGAAATCTATCCATCTACTTTATATATATGCTTGCCCTGCCAAATTAAGTATCTTTTCAATGAGAACAAAATTTTTTGGTTATAAAACTAAGCCTTGAAAAGTCATAATGCATCAGCTTGCCTCTCTCTTTTTAAGTGATTGATCATCCCCTGTTACTTTAGTTTATCTTGATCCATGTCAGTTTCACTGTTTGATGTTAAACTGAAAACATCTAGAGCTGATTCACATATGTAGGCAAAACACGTTTTCCCTGCCTCTCACAATTCTTCCTGCTTGTCCTTGGATCCATGGTTTCTTAGGGAGAAATGTCAATGTAAACAGTGCTAAACAGAGAAGCAGCTGTTATCAGTGGTATGCTTCTGACCACTGCTGTTGCTAGAATCATTTTTGCATGAATTTGTTGTATTATCTATTTCATGCAGATGTTCTTCCTGGTGATGATCCTGTGTTTGAATACAGTTAAAAGGGATTTTCCTGGAAAGAGAGCAACCAGTTGCATCTGTATGGTAGCCTCTGTCAAAGAGCCTCCAACAATTCATTCAGCTATTCTTATCATGTCCTAGTTTATATTTATGTGTAGTTCTATTATCTTTTTCTTCCTTGGCTGATTTGGTTGATCGGCTCACAATATCACCCTCCCCCCCAAAAAAGTATGATATGCTTATATGTACCTACAATTAAGAACAGACACAGCCAATGGAGAGCGTGGTCTGGAGAATCAGTTTGTCTCTGGTAGGGAGTTGCAGTTTTAAGCCAAAAAATGAACAAAACCACAACAAACCACTCCTCTATATATCTTGCAGATGCCCAAGAGTTCAATAAATTACGGACAATCAACGTTACCTTCAGCCAGAGTAAGTCTGTCATGAGTGATTATTGGAATGAGTGGTACTTGGAACAAAGGTGCTAATGGCCCTCTTAAAATTTACTTGTTTATTTCCTTAATGTAATTGGTGTTGAAGAAAATAATAGCAGTTCAGTTCTAGTTTTGCTTGAATGCAGTTGTTTTGCTCAGTTTTCACCTAAGTAAAGAAAAAATGCTACAGGCTTTCTGGAAGCAAATGTTGGCAGTGGTGCCAAGCTAACTAGGTTGTAATTGTGATCAACACCGGAGCTGGGCATTTGTATGGTGACAGAAAAGATGGGGTCCAGCTCTTCCCCAGCCTCACTCCATACCTCACCCTTGGATCCTGTCAGAGCATTAGTGCAAGAACCCCAGCTTCCTTCCTCCTCCCTGTCCTTTATCCCCCACTCCTCTTCTCGGGACCTGGCCCTACCTCCTCACTGAGGTGGACCATTTCATCTCTTTTCAGACCGTCCTCCTGTGTCTCTGTCCTCCCAGGTCCTAAGAGATGTGGAGTCCTCTTATCCCTCTTGGGGATGCAGGGCAAGGGCAAGCAGCCCGTTGGGAGTCCTGGAAGTGACACCCCACACATGGAACGACAAGACAATTTCTTTACCCACAGATATATTAGTTATGCTTATTGACAAAGAGCCTTGCAAATCTTAAATATTAACTAATGTAACACAAAGGTGAAAGAGTGTGCAACAAATAAAACAAAAAAGCAAAAAAAGAAAAGACTAGAACCCCAAATCTAATGCCAAACCTTATTGTCAGGACTCTGCAAATTTTTAGCTGATAACAAGTGTAAAAGTTGTAGTCATCAGCCTAATACAGGGCAGATTTCTGGTCTATTTCAGATTAGCCCTCCTCGGATCCCATTTGGAACTTAAGTTGTAGTCATCAGCCTAATACAGGGCATATTTCTGGTCTATTTCAGAAACTGGGGGTGGATTTGCCCTCCTCCAATCCCATTTGGAACTCAAAGCTTAGAAATAGGGAGGCGCTCTGAGCTATGTACTTTCCTGAATATTGTGCAACTGCTTGTACAGCATTCTTTACCACTGTTCTTCCTCAGATTCAAGAGACAGGCTGCATTTGTTCTTTCTTGTTGCTATGTTTGAGGTGTTGGAAAAGTTACTACTTTTGGACTAAAACTTCTAGAACATGCTCCACCCTCCCAGTCAGCAGGGCCACACCACGTTGGCTGGGGAAAGGGGTGTTGTAGGAGTTGCAGTCTGAAAGAGCAACTTTTCTAAACTCAGGTTGCCTTCCCAGTTCCAAGACCAGAAGGACGGCCTCCCACGTGTTTTTTTTTCAGTTCTTAACTCAAATCTAAGTATGTAAGTCAAGTCAATATTTTCCTATGAGAGTGGTTCTTAAGTCAAAATGTTCTTAACTCGGGCCGTTCTTAAGTCAAGACCCCACTGTATATACCTTCCTGAATATTGTGCAACTGCTTGTACTGCATTCTTTACCACTGTTCTGCCTCAGATTCAAGAGACAGGCTGCATTTGTTCTTTCTTGTTGCTATGTTTGAGGTGTTGGAAAAGTTACTACTTTTGGACTAAAACTTCTAGAACATGCTCCACCCTCCCAGTCAGCAGGGCCACACCACGTTGGCTGGGGAAAGAGGTGCTGTAGGAGTTGCAGTCTGAAAAAGCAACTTTTCTAAACTCAGGCTGCCTTCCCAGTTCCAAGACCAGAAGGACAGCTGGGGTTAGTGTACTGAACAGAGGAGGGTGGGATGTTTGTTGTGATTATTGTGGTGAGTTTGTGCAGTCTGATTACAGTGAAGGAATGAAATTAAATTTGTAAACTTTTTTTGACAATGTTAGTGAAAAATGTATATATATTACAGAATTTTTTACCTTTATATTTTATTCTGGAAAACTAGGTTCAGTCTGCAATGCTCACTTACCAAGAATGAATGAGCTAAAGTAGACTCATGGAAATGAATGGGACTTTGTTAGCCAACATTAACACAAATCCCATTTATTAAACTGGGTCTACCCCTTTTTGGAACAGAAAATGGATTTAACTCAAAGTAAAAGCAGTTATTTTGAAAAGGCATTTCTAAAAGGCAAGTATACAGAATAGGTAGTGGGCCTTCTCTTCAGGCATTAGTGGTTTCATGGAATCTTTGACTGATCAAACAGCAGATAGCCAACCAACAAGAATTCCAACCTTAATTAACTCAGTTTATTCTCTTTTTGGAAGGTTACTGTGTGGATATGCCAGATACTGGGCCATGTTATGCCAGTTTCCCACGCTGGTATTACAACCCATTCACTGAGAAATGTGACCGCTTCACCTACGGAGGTTGTGAAGGCAACAAGAATAACTTTAAGGAAGAGGAAATATGTATGAAATCCTGTGCTGGTGTCACAAGTAGGTAGAAAAACCTTAGGAGGACAGGGCATTGGCATTTCTTGCTGATTGCATTCTTCTGTATAATTGGTTGGCACAGATAGCCTGGACCCAAGAAAGCCCTACCCTGGACATCTTATTTAAAAAAAAAAAGGTTGTATGGGAAAATCCAGTCCTTCAAATAGTTTGGACCCAAGCCAGGTAGGGCTTTATAAGTCATAACCAATTGTTTGAATCAAGTTGAAAATGGGCCAGTAGCCAGAAAAGCTGTTTTAACAAGAGAGTTTCTCCCTTGTTAAAACTGATGCCTTTAAAAGGAGATTGGACAGATTCCTGGAGGAAAAGTCCATCGCAGGTTGCAAGAATGTGATCTCATGTTGAAGTCTCCTAGCATGATCAGTTAGGTCTGGAAGGAACCTGCTGTACCGCAAGGTGGATTCTACAGTACAATCTGTATTCTGACCCAAGACACTCACCCTCAGATACTTGAACACAGTGTTTGGAAAATGGGATGGAGCATACGGTGAGGAGAATGAAATCAGGACAGGAACTGCAGCTCCGGCATAAACAAAAGAAAAATAAGAACAAAAACATTGTGGCACCTTAAAGACTAACTGCTATATTTTATGTGAGCTTCCATGGATATGTCCACTTCTAAAGCCACTGTAGCTCTATTTCCAGCTCTCCCCCAGGCCTGCTGATCCATAGGTGATCCAGCTGGGCAGTGCTGGGAGAAGTCACTTTCCACTTCATCCAGTTCTTGAAGATTAACAAGTGCTTTTTAGATTCTTTAATAGAAATACATGGAAGTGAACCAGGGAACCATTTAGGGTCATACTCTGCAAATGAGTTCTGATAATCCCACTCTTCCTTGAAAATGAGAGTTTTAGCTAATTCAGTTATTCATTCAAAAATAGCATCCAGCCCTGCTCTGTTGGGAACAGACATATTTACTAGATTTTATATTGGATACTACGTGTTTGAATACTGAAAATGGGAAAAGCCTCCCTTCACACGAAAAACAATTATTTTGAGGGGAAAGCTAAACTACTTCTCCCCAATATGCTGTCTTCCCATGGAAGGCAAAGTGAGGGAAAATCGCATATGGTCTTAACCGACCAGATAAGCGGGATACTAAATAAATAAGTAAGTAAGTAAGTAAGTAAGTAAGTAAGTAAGTAAGTAAGTAAGTAAGTAAGTAAGTAAGTAAGTAAGTAAGTAAGTAAGTAAATAAGTAAATAAGTAAATAAGTAAATATATATGAATCACACACTGTATGCTTAAAGTATGTCACACATGGGTCTTTATATTCTAAATTAAGTGGAGAAAGAGGAGAGTAGCAGTAGCATGGTGGCACAATTGATTAAACTGTTAGGTATAAAAATAGATGACTTGTGAGACACTTTGAGTAAGTTACTTTATTAATGTTAAAAGTGTACTATATTAAAGGATCTCTGTCAGGGCCTTCTTCCAATCCCTGTTGTATGACTCTGTGTGTTTCTCTCTTCTCTGCAGAAGCAGACCTGATTGGGCAAAGATGGAGAGGATATGAGTATCAGAAATCAGGTTTAAGTATGTAACTCATTTCCACAGAATTCTATTTCTCTTAATTTACTCTTCTCTTCCCAGAACTCATGAAAGTTACTTTCTTGGACTACAACTCTCTAAAGCCCTAGCCCCAGTGGCTATACTAGCTAGGAGATTCTGGGTAGTACCAAAAAATGTAACTTCTCCAGGTCTTTCCACACCTGCATTCCCTTTTGGCTTTATATTTCAGGAAAAACAAACTGGGGTGGGAGGGTGAGATCCTATTACTTCTGCCTCAACGTACTGGCACTTGTCATAAGAACATAAGAAGAGCCCTGCTGGATCAGGCCAAGGGCCCATCTAGTCCAGCTTCCTGTTTCTCACAGTGGCCCCACCAGATGCTTCTGGGAGCACACGAGACAACTAGAGACCTGTCTCCTGATACCCCTCCCCTGCCTCTGGCATTTGGAGGTACCTTCCTTTTAAGGCGGGAGATTATACATCCCCATCAGGGCTTGTGAAGAGAAGTAGCCTAGTCTCCATTGGGTTTGCTCCCTTCTTCTCTTCCAGCAGGGCTGTCAGAAGGGAAAATAAAGTTTCTGTTCCTATCTTAGGATGTCGTCCCAGTTCATAAACTGGGGATATGCACTAAGCAGCAACATTCCGATTCAGAATTTAGAATTATAGCCCATCAGACTGGGAATTTTAAAAATGTAGACTTTCTAGATATCCAGAATGCCATTACAATGACTATGAATACTATATAGTTATATAGTATGCTTAAAAGCATACAGACAAAACATTTTTAAAATATTTACCTGTGTCCACCCCCCCCAACACCCTCCCAGTGATTGTGCCAAACACAAATGCACATCAACAGCCAGCTAGTAGTAAATGACTGTAATGGGCATACTGATTGAACTAGACATAGGAGCTTTGTATTTGTATCCCAGGGGATACAAATATGAAGCGTGGTGCAACGGAGGTCCATTCCCTCCTCCCAGAATCATCCGGATCCACTCACTGGGCTTCATGTGGCATGCACATCCATTGTCGGGAACATTGTGCTAATTGCTGGCACTTCCCCACACTGCTGACCACTCTGGCAAGAAGGCAGAATGATGAGTCTCTTTGCTGAGCTCCTGAGTTGTCAGCAGCATAGGAAAGCAGGGAAGCACCAGCCGGGCTACTTCTGTGACTGCCATAATGTGAACAGCGATGGCTGCGCATAGTAAGTGGACCAGCTGGTTCTGGATGGAGGGTCGAAAGGGCTCAGCCACCTGTGGTGATGAATACAAATATCTCATCTCTAGATTGAACCATAAACTGTGGGAACACCAGCAGGATTGGGGAAGTAGAGGAGTGGGATAACACACTTCCCAGCACAGACAGGCAGATTGGAGTAGCAGATAGCCTGTGGTGGATTGGAACTGTGCCAAGAGCATGGGAAACAGCTCAGTTGATTGAGTTAGCCCTGTCCTAGAAGAATGAAAAGAAAGAAGGAGAGAGCAGCAGACTGAAGCATGGCAAACGTAATACTGTGAGCAGAATCTGCTATTCTCTCTTATTTAAAGGGGTCTTCAGGGAAGTCCAACAATGGTAGGTTGTTGTTCCTCACTTTGGGCATTTTAGGTGCACAGAAAAGCAATTTGTGTCATCACCATAATTCAAAACTTTTTCTGAGCTTAGCTAGGAATCTTCTAAAAAAGACAGCATGTGTGTCAAAATCTATGCATTAGAATGGATTCTAGGCGGGTGCTTGCATTTTGCTTAGGTTACCAAACCAGGTTGCAAGTATTGTAGAAGTCTCCACACTAAGTGCCCAATAGTTTGTCCTTTGTTATTTTGTTTACCAAGACTGCTATTCTGGCCTTCTTTTCTCCTAGGCTCTTTTGAAGTCGCCATTGCAGTCCTCCTTGGCGTGTGCATCATGGTAGTGTTGGCAATCCTTAGCTACTTCTTCCTGAAGAATAAAAAGGGTTACCGCCGGCGGCGCCAGCCAACTACTGCAGCCAACTCCACTCTCTCTTCTGTTCTCTCCACTACCGAGGACACTGAGCACCTGGTTTACAACAGCACCACAAAGCCCATTTGATCCTGAAGGAACCCTCTCCGTTTTGGGGACTGGGACAGTTCTGTTTGTCTTTGCTGATGCTTATGAAGTAAAGGCCTACAGCCGAAGGATTTCTCCCTGCCCTCCACATTCTGTACTCTTAGACAGGCAATCCCTGGCCATTGTACAAGCCTAGTAGTTGTCCCGAATATGTGACAGCTCTTGAGGAAGAGGAATGACAAGATGTTTAATCCCTCTTTCTCCCATGATGGTCCTATACGGATGGCTGTCTCTTTTTTGAAGTTTCCTGTCATTTGAAGGAAGGGGGAATCATTTTCAATATAAAGACATTCTTACGTACTGAAGGAGGCATGGTTTGCTTTGGTATTGGTTTTAATTGTCCTGCAAGCCCACTGAAACCTCAGTTTCTTTTTCTGTATGATTGCACATTTTCCTGTTCCTTCCTCTATCCTCCCCCCCCCCAAATTATGCCAGAATTTAAAAGGGCTTTGCAAGGATGCAAGTACTTCAAGCAAATCAGCGCCTTTTGAGATTTCCATGGGTTTTTCAGGTGAAGATAGGGTTGTATATGGCGGTCTTTCAAGTGTCCCTACTTGGAATAGAGATTTTACAGACCGCAGATATGGAAATGGCTTCATCTTCCTAAATGGATTGAAGCCCATGCTGGGCGCATGAGTGCCTCTTAAATACAGCAGTGTATTTTACATACCCAGAATGCCACAATGGAATAATAAGTGATATACAGTGATAAATACATTATGGCCATTAGCTTTAAATTTTGTTTTAGCTTTTGAAGCATTTCCCCAAATAACAGATATCAGTTATTTGGGGAAATGCTGCATTAATACATTATGATAAACCATGCATTTAATCTGCATTTTTAAAAACAACTTCCCTTCTGTTCCTACCTCTAAGGTTGTCATTTCTGCTTTTAATGGTATAGTACTAGTTCAGTAGATTGTATGTTTTTACGTCTTAAACATTTATATATTTATTTTTTTAGAACCAAAATGTGACAAGAAGAATGATGTTCCTTATATTCTTTCTCTGAGTAAGCAATTAGTCTGTGGGAAAGGCATGTCCCCTTCCCCTCAACTGTGTGAAATTACTGTTCCTTTACGAAGCTAGTGCCACTTAACTGATTATTGTCACAGCCAATTTTCAAATGAGCTTCACAGGGAGAAAGGAAAGAACCTGGAACGTGGAAAGCTGCACTTTTGGAGAGCAATTGTCAGGTAGGATTATGTAAGGAAGTAGAAGCCTAAAAGGGACAGATTTTAACTGGGAAAAGCAGAACACGTTCCGGTTTTTCATCACCCTTGTTGGCATAAAGAATATATGAAGCCGTGCCTGTAAATAATTTGCCATCTTGATGACAAGTCAGGCCATTGTCCTCTTGCTACTGTTTGTTAGTCAGTATATTAGATTTTTACCTCTTCTCTTCTGTGTCCCTTCATACATACATACACACTATCCACACCCCAGTCTGATGTAGCTTCATAGTTTCTTGCATCTGATAACTTGTATTAATTTCCAGAGCTTGGTAGTGTTACTTCTGTGGATCATCATTCCCAGAAGCCCCCAGCCAGTAGGGACGGTGGGCATGCTGAGAGGAAGATTTTGGAAATAGTAATTCCAAAAAGGAGCCTCGGCCAAGCTTTGTGAATTCTAACCATTCATCTTTGTCACAGGTGTAAATGCTTCAAACAACATGTAGCTTTTTGTACAAGTGGCCTGCATATAAACTTCGGATGGGGGGGTAGGGTGGAGCAAGTTTGTGCCTATCCCAGTATGTCACACAATGTGCCATTTGATAAAGATTATTGGGTGAAAGAAGCCTCCCCTTGAACAGTGCCTCAAATTTTAGTACTCCAGATGATCAAAACCCCTGCCCTGATTCTCTCCATGTTTGCCTAGATGTGGGAGAGAAGGGCTTGTGTGGTAGCTGCTCCAAATCCACTATGACAATTACAGTACCCAGCGACAAGAAATTGTTTCTGTGGGCCTCCATCTGAGTCGACAGCTCCTTAGATTTCTTGGTATTTTAGCCAGAGATAGACAGACTTTTTCCCCCCAGAAAAAGTAATTTTGCCCATCTCTGATTTCACATTCTCATTTTCACTCTCTGGACAGTCCAGTAGCATAGCCCATTGTTGCTTTTGGAACTGGACCAGATTTTGCCCGACTTGTTAGGCAACATGACTGTGGTCTGTTTCTCAGCTGGCCCTTCAAAAAAGGCAAAGAAAATATTTTTAAAAATGTTTTTATAAGTGACACAGCACATCAGCAATGGTATACCAGAGTCTGGGGGAAAAAAACAGCCTTTCTGTCAAGGAGCAGAGGAAGTACTCAGTTTTCAGATACCCTGAAGTGCCTTGATTACTAAGCTATTTCACAATACTGGAAATTCGAAATGGAAGGAGCTCTGACAGCTGGAAGGCTCACTTTTGATCTGTTTGGTTTGCTCCAATGATTGCCATGTCACTAGAAAAAAGCAAACCAACCCATCCCTGCAGGGGACCAAACAGCAGGACAAATGACGGCCCTCTCGGTCTGCTTCTTTGGAAATTCCCTCGATATGAAGTTATGGGAAAGAGCAGAAAACACTTGGTTTCTCTCCTCCTCTTTTAAAGGCTGGTTAAGAAATATTGTTTTAAATATGTACATGTATATATAATGACTTTCTACTTGGATATAAAATGCTGCTAACTGAGGTAAACTGATAAATCTAACGTGGGGAGTGTGGGGGTTGAGAAATAGTTCATTTCAGAGAATAAAGGCAAGATTTCTTTAGTGTGGAACTGCCTAATCATGCTTTGAGAAATGGCAGAATAGGCTGGGGAAGATAACAATAAGGCCTGCAACTGGATCTTTGAGGGAAAGGATAGAAGAGAAGGTGTCTCGCTATCCCCTATGGTCGGCAAATTATGTGACATCATTGTACGTGCAAATTCCACCATCTTTCCTCCTGTTTCCCCTTCACAAAACACTTGCTTTTGAATCCTTTGTTCTGAATTTCTCAGCCTCAATAAATGAAAATTTTAATAAAATATGTCCTTTGTCATTTTCTTTCTTGAAAACTCTCACTGGCTTATGAAGTTGCTGCTACCTAAACACCTTAGGAAAAGGAAGAAGCAACAAGACGTGCAAATTCCACCATCTTTCCTCCTGTTTCCCCTTCACAAAACACTTGCTTTTGAATCCTTTGTTCTGAATTTCTCAGCCTCAATAAATGAAAATTTTAATAAAATATGTCCTTTGTCATTTTCTTTCTTGAAAACTCTCACTGGCTTATGAAGTTGCTGCTACCTAAACACCTTAGGAAAAGGAAGAAGCAACAAGACTTTTCGTAACTGAGGAAGCTTCATTAGTACAGTGGGTTCAGTATGGATAGTCTATTAGAGAACAGTTAGGCCCAAGGGATACCGAGTGCATATTATTTCCTCTCCATTAGAACTCAGCCCTGAGCAAGTAAGGAGTACAGTGTTGCCTCGACTTACGACCATTTCCAGTTACGACCAGCTCAGGCCACAAAATTTTGCTTCAACTTGCGGCCAGAGCTTTGAATTACAACCCAAAAAAGGCGGGGATTCAAATTGCTAACGGTTGGTAGGCGAAGAGGCTGCTTCTTTGTAGCTCTTTTGCCCCAACGGTTAGAGTGCGTGCAATTGGAGGATGCTTCGGACTGCCTGGTAAGGTAAAGTGCTGCTTTCTGCTTTTTAAAAAACTGTTCTGGGTGAGTTTTGCAGTGTGGTTTTGGGCTGGGTGGTGGGATTATGTCTTGCAGGGTCTGTTTGTGGTTTGGGTCCCCCCCCCATTTCCAATGCATCTTGTGGGGTTTGTTTGCTTTTTGGTCCCCCCCCATTTCCAATGGGTCTTGCATTGTTTGTTTGATTTTTGCTTTGCTTTTTTCTATTTCCGAAGGTTCTTGCATGGTTTATTTGCTTTCTGCTTTGCTTTTTTTGCATTT